GAACTAGAACAGAGAGTATGCATGCATTAATGCAAACATATTTGAAATATACTTCACTTACAGCTTTCTAATTGTAAATAAAATTCAGATACAAAATTGTATATATATATTTCATGTCTCCCATGTGGAGGTAATCTGGCTTATTGAATTAAAGAGTATTCTGTGGAGCTATAGGTTTGAATTTTTATTCAATCCATTACATTTTTACATAATATTTTCAAACATTTTTTTCCAGTAGGCATGTACACTGGCCAGAGAAAGAGGAAAGGCATTCCCAAGTAGGGTGAGGTCACTTCACAATCCCTTTTTCCTCCATTTCTCCATCCCATCAAGATTTGGGGCATGCATGCACTTGTTCCCCTCATGGTTTTTTGTTTTTTGTTTTTGTTTTTGTTTTTCCACACTGCCAGAGCCAAGATTCCAACTGCAGTCAGCCATGTGGGATCTGGCTCCCTATGCCCAGGGCTTAACCACTGCACTATAGGGCTGACAGAAATCACATAATTTTTTAACCACTGTTTTGAAAAGTAGTAATATTCTCCTTGCAGGCAACTATGGAAATTTGAGGTGATGTATTTACATACAATTCTTCACATGGAATAGGTACAGTAACTACTGGGTTGCTGGGAAAGTAATGACTCATTTTTGGATAGAAAAATATGCCATGACTTTCCTGATGACCTAGTATTCGTATTATCACCTACTATTGCATGCTCTTCTTATAGCAAATATTAATTTAGTATTATAATTCTTTCTTTACATGCTTTTGTTCTCCACAAGATTTTCAGCTCCTCCAAGGCAGTGATCCTCTTCTTTCTCTCTTTGAATCATCAATACCTAGTGTACATATAGCACTTGCATTTGTAAAGATATTCTCACCTGATGATTGGAAGTGAAGAGAAGGGATCAAACAATCTCATTATTTTATAAAAAAAAAGAAGTAAATTGTGTAATGAAAATGTTCTTTTCTTAAAAGTTATGAGTAAGAAAACTCTTCAAACCCAAAGTAGGTAGTTTTTTGTTTGTTTGTTTGAGAGGTTTTTGCTATAAGGGCATGTGCACTCACTAGAGAGACAGAGAGACAGAAAGTGAGAAATCACTCCCCCCCACCCGACCCAGGGGAGAAGGCCATGCTGCAATCCTCCTCTTAGGATCTGGGGCACACACGCACATGTGATTGGCACACACTTGCCCGCCTTGAGTTTTAAGCCACCAGGTCTGGGACTCTAACCACCGTTGACTATGTTTGAGTCCAGTGACGTAACCATAACACCATCTGCTGGTCCCCAAACTAGTTAGTTTTTATTGGGTTTTAAAAGAGTTTGAGGGTCATCCAGTGGCATACTGGTTAGGGCTGTTGGATTCCACATGGCTAACTGCACAGTTGAAGTCCTAGACCCGGTGACTTGAAAGACACACTGCATACATGTATATGCATTGCTAAACTCCCAAGAGGAGAATGGAGAAGAGATCACAGTGTGGCCATCCCCCTTGGGCATTTCTCACTTTCTCTTTCTTTCCAGCAAGTGCACATGCCCTATGACAATAGAAAGAGAGAAATGGGGGGAGGGAGAGAAAGAAATAAAAATAAATACAATGAATCAATTAAGTAAAAAAATATTTTGCGATTAAAAAAATGTCATCATCAGATTGTTTTGAAACAAAATGTGCTTCAGTGGCTGTTCATGTGGTCTCTCTTCCTAGAGCAGTGGACATCTGGCTTAGGAGACCGTGGGCTCAGGTGGAATTTGGAGACAAAAATGTTCCTGACCAAATTTTCAATGTCTGTTTCATTCAATATTGAATTGATGACTAGCACAGAGGTCAGGACATAGTGCGCACTCTAATATTTGTTGACCTCACAGTCATCCCTTTTAGCTAGTTTTCTGATTTTGTAATGTAGTTTCTTCTCAGTCTGCATAGCAAACCACTTTGCCATGGTAATTATTATTTACATCTTGAAAAAAGGATTAGAAATGAGAAATAAGATAGAAGTTGTAATGAAAGAAGATTATGAACTTTTAAAGCGATGTTTAACACATATTCCTTTAGCAAGTGGCTAAAATATAATTATTTAAACCATAGGGTCTTCAGAACAAGTAGTAGATAGGAACAGGAGATGACAATTGTTTTTTTTTTTTTTTTTTTTTTTAAATAGACCTTGTTCTCAAATACCACTTGTTTCATTTCTTCTAACATAGACATTTACTTTGGGGTCTTAGTTCTAAAGACTAATAAAAGAAATGTTAACTTTTTTTTTCTTTTTTTGGAGAGGTTTTTGCTATAGGATGCGTGCGCTCGCCAGACAGACAGAGAGAGACAGAGAGACAGAAAGCGAGAAATCACCCCCCAGAGGGGATGGCCACACCGCAATCCCTTCTCCTCCATTCTCCTCTTGGGATCTTGGGCACGCACACACACATGCCCGGTGTGAGTTTAAGCCACCAGGTCCAGGACTAGAACTGCGGTCGACTACGTGGGAGTCCAGTGACATAGCCATTACACTAACTGATGGTCCCAGAAATATTAACATTTATCTGAGACTCTAAGGCTCATTGAGTAAGTCTAATATACTTGATTGAGTATCATGTAAATCTGCTAATTTGTTCATTTATTTATTTATTTTTAAATTTTTGCCATAGGGCATATGCACTTACTGGTAAAACAGAGAGAGATAAAGAGACAGGGAAAAAGAGAAATCACTCTCCAGAAGGTATGGTCATAACACAACTTCTTCTCCATTCTCTTTTTGAGATTTTGGGCACACACGCACATGTGCATAACACATTTTTCAAGCCACTGGTCCAGGACTCTAACCACTCAGTCAGCCATGTGGGATCCAGCACCTTAACCACCACATGACCAGCTGGCCCCTGTTCATGGTTTCTGAGTATTTCCTTTATCTATTTCTATGAATATGACTCTTTTGGTAAGATCTTTATTACTTAAATATGCTTCCTTCTTTTAGTTTCTTTTAGTTTTAGAGATATCAAATGATCATTTACCTTGATATTTCCACATTGGAATATAACAACTTGGAACACATTTCTTGTTATAATATTTTATCTTTAATGTTTTAAAATGCTTTCTTTTCCTTCTCAAATGACCCTGAGTTAATAGAGGCAACTTCGTTTCCACAGTTCTGCCCTTAGAACTTGATAAGGGAGATCCATCTTTGAGCCTCACACTTTTGAGGTCTCTCTTCTGCATGTTTGCCAACTGTTTTATTTTCCGCAAAAGGCAAGGAGTCCATAGATTGAATCAGTGTGTTTATTCTGTTTTTCCAAGTTCACGGGGCTCTGGAATTCCTTGTCTAATAGCTCCATACCTGCTTCTTGGGCTTGAGGAGCTTTTCCCCAACCTATCCGTAGGAGGCTACCCTGTTCCACCAGTGTACATCTCTCTAGATTGTGGAGTGGCCAGGAGGCAGCTGTTTAAGAAATGTGCAGGCTTCTCAGTAAACAAAGGGGCGAGGACTAAACTGTGGGTGGTGATCGTAGGTCTTCTACCGCTGCTATGTTGCCACACGCAACACCAGGAGTCTACATATTCTAAACTGAAATTTGCCAGCAAGATCATTATGTAGGTAAATTGTCAAATGTGTTGATTTGTTAGCTTGGTTTATAGTTTTAAAATATTTAAATATGTGGCATGTGGGCTTCCATTTGCTCTCTTATACTGGGTCCTAAAAATATTTATGGATTGAATTGTTCATACAAATACTTTCTTTATTCCCAAGGCCAGAAAAAAGGGGCCTTAAGACTTAGCTCCTTCATTATCCTGTCTACTTTAAACTCAGACAGTGATGCCAAGAAATTATTTTAAAATATAGCTATGATGGGCCAGCCAGTAGGGTGGTTGTTAAGGCAGCTAGATTCCCACATAGCCAACTGTGTGGGATCAAGTTCCAGACCCAGCGACTTGAAAAACATGCCAGGTGTGTGTTTGTGTGTGTTTGCACCCAAAATCCCAAGAAAAGAAAAGAGAAGTGTTTGCAACATGGTCATTCCACCCTGGATAGGGGGATGTTTTCTTACTGTCCCTCTCTTTTTTTTTTCTCTGTCTCTCTGGCAAATGCACATGCCCTATAGCTATTTAAAAAAATATCTGCACAGATATTTACATAGATATAGATATATCTATATTATATCTCTATCTATCTGTTTATCTGGTTAGCTTAAAATCCATTGGAAACCATCTCATTTTCTTTTATTTCATTCTTTTCCTTTTGCACAGTATTTGTGGTGTTTGTAGTTGAATGTGTGCTATGTCAGAACTCTAAAGCTTAGGATAATGAGGTATAATTTGAGAATCAATGAGATTTTATACTTGTCAAGTGGCTCATGACCCATTAATGTATTTATAACAAATTATTCATGACATTGTTACCTTCCATGTGTCATATTTTCACTAATGTGTGACCTAGCTTTTTCCCCACCATTGAACAAAAATATAAAATGGAAAAGACAGTGAATTTGGCTTTCCATTGTTTATAAGGAAAGTAAAATTTAAGAGGTCACATGCTCTATACATATTCCCATGCTGGATTTCAATGGCTTCCTTACACAGAACACCATACTTATTTTTCTCCCTCCAGTAAATATGCTGTGAAAGAAATCACACAATTTTCTCATTCGATTGACTGAATTCAAGTAGAACTGAGCAATTTGCAAATAGATGCAATTGGAATGTTTAGAGTCAATGCCTACCTTTACAAACTTTTAAGTTTGGAACCTATTTTTTTAGGCGATATAAAGGTATTAGCAGTAGGAGATTCTCCTGTCTTCTTCAAGCTGAGAGCCAGAAATATAACAAGCAAGAGTAGTAACCATCAAAGAGGGATTTAGCACATTAAGGTACTACCTAAAAAACACACACACAAAAAGGAGTCATCAGAGGGTTGTAGGTTTACATGTGACTACTTAGTTATACTTAAGTCTCTTTTTCTCCTTCTAAAAACTTCTTCATTAACATAGAGCTGGTTCCTGTCCTCGCTCTAGGTATCATTACTATGGGATTGGCATCAAAGAGAGCAGTGCATATTACCACTCCGTTTATTCTGGAAAGGGCCTGACCAGGTAGAGTTACATCATCTTTAAGACAAATTCTCTGCATTCTTTAAACATGCATAAATATCTATTAAGTCAATGTGTTTCCTAATTTTGCTTATCAAAATGTTTTTCTTTTGGAATCAGACCTTAATGTCAACTTGGTATGACATTTATATAGTCAAGATCACTGGGAAGATTACATAATTCATTATAACTAACAAGAAACCAATGGTGAACTAGGAGTCCCAGAGGGATAAAGAGAAAAAAAATAAAGGAAGTAGAATTGCTTGTAAAGTAATATTTGCTTATTCTCTGTTTTCAGCCCAGATTCAATGCCATAAATGAAGAAAACGTAATTTTTTATAAGACACAAACTGTTTTAACAACCTATGAGCTTGACTTGCCCCTTACCAAGATGAAAGTTTATTATAATCATCTTTAGTCACATATATTTTGAATATCATCTTACTTCAGTAAGATGAAGGTACTGACGTTTGTGTCTCTGAAAGGAAAAACTTACAGGAACATAGAAAGCACATTGATCTATGCTGCCATTAACTATCAGGAGGAAGTTATTAATAATAGAGATAGCAGTCAACAAAACCAGTGATAAGATTAATTTTAAAATCTAAAATTCTGGGGCCGTTAGTTGGAGTGACAGGTAAAACACTGAATTCCATATGACCACCTCTGTAATCTGAGTTCTGGACTCAGCAGCTTATATGTGCGTGCCTAAAATTCCAAGAGGAACCTGGAGGAGGAGAGATTGCAATGTGGTTATCCCCCTGGGGGTGATTTCTCACTTTCTCTCTCTTCCTCTGTTTCTCTCTGGAGAACACATGCACCCAATAGCAAAAACTGAACAGGCATGTGTGTATATACGAAATTCTGAATAACTAAATCTCCTTCTGAGATTGTCATATGATATAAATCACCCAGAATTGTTCTTAGCTCTTAAAATTTTTTTTAAAATTATCTTTAAAAGTAAAGTGTCTTATGGAAAAATTATTTTAGTCACTTGACTCAGACTAAATTTAGATATTACAAGGAATATAATGGCAGCTTACGAGCGTCTATGCACTATTAAGTGTAAATACAGGCTGAAACAAACACAAATGTTTAATGTCAAGTGTCCTTTGCTTGTCTCAAGTCTTAGTTGACTTCTCTAAATATTTCTCATCTTATTTTCCCCTAAAGGACTTTTTTTTTTATTATTTGTAATAAGCTGAGAAATAGTCTTAAGTTTTTTCTGAATAAATAAATTTATCCTCTTTATTAATCATGGTATAAGGTTATTATTTTTTAGATCCTCTACATATCTTTGAATGCTGTAATTGTAATTTTTTTAACTAATGGAAAATATACTGATTTTTAAGGTTTTCTGGAAGCAAGCTGAAGAATGAGGTAAGAATTATTTTCATCTCTATTTTAGATTCACTATACGTTTTACAAACAAACAACACATGTTAATTCTAACTGTTGGCAGATATGGAAGCAATGTTACTTATTAGAAACTGCTTAAATGACTGAAGATTTAAGATATAATTTAGATTCCAGGCAAATAATGAATCTTTACATGGATCTACCAAATAACTTTCAATTAACCTAGAAAGGATAATTTTTCATTTATTCATACATAATATGAGACATTTAGGAAATGGCAAAAGAAAAAAAGACTCACTGATCCAAAAAATTCCACTTAAATATAAACGAAAAGCTTAAGTTTAGAATCTGGGAAGAATTGATATTTGGACTATACCTATTTTGACAAAAACTTTAATAGTAATCAAGAAGCCCAAATGCTATGCTATACTATGGTTTATTGTTCTATTTTGTGTACACACACACACACACACACACACACACACACACACACACACACACACACACACACACACACACACACACACACACACACAGATGCAAACAATCTTTCTCCCTAGGCTTACTCTCCACCCCCTCCTTAGAGAACAGATCAGCAAACTAACTTTATCTAAATGAGTTAAACTACCATTAGGGACTGCATGGCTAATTAGGCACATGATAAGGCCTTCATTATCCTCAAGTTAACTAATCATTAAAAAAAAGTGCCACAGAACTGAGACACATGATAATGTGTGGTGTGGTAAATCTGAACCCAAGGTAAAGTGTAACTCCATTAGTTTGGTGAAATGATGCAAGCATATTATCTTAAGAAATAATAGAAAGCCCTCAACCCTTTAAAATGACCAATTTCTTTCCACCAGTGCTTTTAATGGCTAATTACCTAATAAAACCCTCCAGATTGCTCTTTTTATCAATGAAATAATAGCTCTTTATTAGATAAACAATTTTGAAACTGCAAAAATATTGATTTAGAAATACACTTCGGTTGACTAAAGTTTATGTCAATAGGGAATTTAAGTAATTTCTCTCAGGTGTTCTTTCTGTTAGTTTGATGAGGCTATACAAGCCAGCCCTCAGCTCATATATCATATGTATGGCAAGCCTTGCTTTATAGAATTAATGAAAAATATTTCACGTCTAATTTTTCTTCCTCAGACAAGTAAACTACAAATTCAGTTGTAGATTTTCTTTTCTTTCTTTATTTTTTAAATTAATTTTTAAAATGATTATTCATACATTAAATTGCTATACATCATTTATATTGTGAAGATTTTCTTAAACAGTTAAAATAAAATAGCATGGTTAGACAGTACAGCCTATGGATTTTCTTCAGATACCTGAAGTAATACTAGCTTATCAATGTAACAAAGACTATAGAAATTAATACTAGTAAGATCTGTCTAAAAGCTTAGGACTACTCTAAATCCTTTTTAATGGTAAAAACATTTGCATGACAAAGTTGAAATAAAAAAAGTATTTTATATTTAGGGTGACTAATGAACAATCATGGTTTGCTCAGGATATGAGACTTTTAAGTACAAACTCTGGTCACACAAACATTATTAACTGTGGAGTTGGGAAAATAGGTATTAACATGCTAATTTAAAGCTAAGGAAAATGAGGCTGAGAGATGTATTTGATTTTTGAAAAATTCAGAGTAAGGTTTCATTTTTTTAAATCCATGGTCAAACTATTAACAGATATATATTGCAGGTACTAGAAGACAAAACGACCAATGGATAGATTTGCTTCTGCCCTCACAGAGCTCTATGATCTAGTAGGAAAACTACTAGATTGTAGGGGGTTAACCAAGTTTTGGGTGTTAAAGGTATTTCCCTCATGAAGTGATAGTTTAGGAAAGAATTGAGAATAAATGGGAGTTTGAAGGAGGAGTGGAATAGGAAAAGAGGAGAGAAGTTCAAACAGTTGCAATGGCATAGCTCAGGGTTTCTCAGCCTTAGTGCAATGAAGGTTTTGGCACAGATAATTCTGTTTCTTGGAGACTTCCTGTACATTGTAGGGTGCTTAGAAGCTTCCTACCATCCCTGGCCTTTGCCTACTAAATTCCAGTGTCACACGCCTCAGCTGGTCCAACTCTATTTGACAACCAGAAATATCTCTGACATTCCCAAATGTCAGCCACCGGCATATCTGAAGTTAATCAAGATGAGCATCAAGTTGAAGGGGGGAAAACATAAGAGAAGTTCAGGATGGCTGTAGAATGAGATAGAAATATTTGTATAATCGATAGGGGCTGGATTATGCACAGTTTTGTAAGGCTAAGAATTCTGGAATATAAAGCTACTAAAGGGTTGAGTGATGCCATTAGACTTGTGCTTTACAGAGCTCATTGTGGCTGTGATATGGAGAATCAATTAGAGGAGTGTAAGAAAGGAAACCAGTAGGTCTGTTGAAGCCTTCATGGATGGTTTGGGTTAAAGAAGATCTGGACTAGGATTATTATTCTAGAAGTAGAAAGAAGTGGCTGGTTTTAATTAGGAAGCATTGGAGGAAAAAAGAAAGATAAAGGGTTCAATTTAAGACTTGTCACATTTGATGTGCTTATGAAACATCCAGTATAAATTTGATGTGGGCACATGAATGTATATGACTGGAAAAAAGGATTTAGAGATTTAGTTTCCTGACTGAAGCCATGGTAATAAGAATATATAGGGAGAAAAAAAGTGAATGATAAGAGAAGAAATGACCAGAAAAGGGTTGTGGAAAGTGGGATAAGGGCAAGGGTCAGCAAGATAACCAAAGGGAATCTAGAAAGATAAAAGATGGAGGAGAATACAGCGTCTCTGAAGTTGAGAGGGGGGGAAAAAGTGCTTCCAATGGAAGGGAATGTTCACTACAATTAAATGCTGCTAAAAGCCCATTGCATAAAAACTAGAAAGGATCTGTGGCATTAGTTGAATGGAGATAATTAATGTCTTCAGGAAGGGCATTTTCACTGGTGAGCTGGGTTGGTTGGTTTGTGAAATGAATAGAAAGGGGTGTTGTATATAGAAACCTTAGGGTGATAGTTGGAAGAGAGCTTGGAATTTAGTTTTGAGGGCTGATTAATGTTCTAATGCTAGTAAAGCAGATCTAGTAACAGTAGAGGCTGAAGATATGAGAGGAGAAAGTTGAGAACATGAAGTCACTGAGGAGGTAACACGGGAGAACTTCAGAGTGGAGGGATTGGAATCTAGAAAGAAAGAACATTTTTTTGCAGTAAAACTATAAAGAGAAATGGATAAATTAAAACACAAGTAGATTTGTAGAATTTACGGCAAGAATTGAGGTAGCGTCTGGTCGATAATTTTGAATCTCTCTTAGAGGTATTAGAAAAAATGGACTATTTCAGATAAAAACATCTATCTCTCATATTTCATATAAATTAATAAACTATTAAATACAAAAAGGGCTTGAAAGAAAATGTCTGTAGCTAATGTACCTTATTTTTGAATGAGATATTCCCTTTATAAGAATGAAGATAATCAAACCAATTTTAAAAGAAAAACACAGGGATTAGAAAGTTCTTTATCTCAAAAGCCTTGTATACGAAATTTGAAGTCAGCGAAAATGGAGGGAAATATTGTAGTTTCAGAAAATATGAAAAGACGTCATTCATAGAAGTGAAATTAAATAGAAATAATATAATTTTTTTGGTGCAAAATGCTTTGAAAGCTATGCATAGTTTTTTCATAATGTACATTTGCCATGAACTTGTTGAAGACCCTTTGTGTGATAATGGGAAAATATTTCTACTACAAACAGAAATCCTACAATTTATAAGAAAAATAAATAGTAAAAATATGAAAAGATACCAATTAGGAGAAAACCAATAGTTCAATTGTTTTGATACTGAATATTAACAAGTGACTTTTTGGAATAAGAACCAGCCCTTCAAGTAAATAAAATAAAGTAAAAAAAATTATAAATAGATGATTCACATAAGGAAAAAGGGCTAATAAAAGCATGACAAAATTAACTACCAAAGAAATAAGAATTATAATATTTTATATTATAAAATTATTAAATATCAGTAAATTACAAGGCTGGTGAAAGTATGGTGGGACAAATTCTTTCATATTCTGCTGGGAAAGCAAAATGAATTTTTGAAAAGAGTTTAAATTAATTTTTTGGAACTGTCTATATCAAGGGTTTTAAAAGTATTTATAACCCTTTCTCCTACTACTTCTATTTTGTATGAATCTCACATAAAAATATAAAACACCTGTTTTATAGCAACAGTCTTAATATATATTGTTTAAGAATATTTTCATATATGGTAAATTAGAAAAGGTTTGAATAGGAATGATCTAAACCAAATTCTAAATATTAATTCTTGTGGGAGAAAAGGGCATGATATTAGGGAGGGTTACAAAGGCTGGTTTAATATTGGAAATGTCTTATGTTTTAGGATGGAAAGTACATGGGTATTTATTATTTTTCTATACCTTTAAGTTTTAAATAGTTCAAAATATAAGAACAAACAAAAGATAACAATAAAAGCCAACAACAACAGCTAGAGGATGATAAAAGCATTTATGTTTGGTGGAATGAATTTTGAGTGTTTCATATTTAAAATTTAAAAATATAGTGGGTTAAATTTCTGAAATGTCTTAGAAAACATCTGAGAGTCCTATAATCCCCAGTAATAAAATAAATAAAATCTAATTCTAATACTTTGTCTTGATCAAAGAAAAGTTTTTTTTTTTTTCCTATGAATCTTCTAATGTGGGCCAAATTTTAACTAGGCAGACTAATAAAGTTGCCATTATTTTTTAAGGAATCAGCTCCTTTATTTCATTACAGTTCAACCAGGAAGTTTCCCTGATAGCCTATTTCCTTCTCCTTAATATCAAGCGTTCATGGCGAGTTGAACAACTTTGTACGAAGATAAATATCAAATCCTCCCTCCTTGGTATATGCTTTTCAAATATTTGTAGACTGTTATCATGCTCTCCTTTGTCTTCACTTACCCAAGCTGTGCAACTTAACTCCTTTAATCTTTCCTCATAAATCAG